GCTCAGGCTGGTTTCGAACTCCTGAGCTCAAACAATCCGCCCGCCTCGGCCTCCCAGAGAGCTAGGATTACAGGCGTGAGCTACTGCGCCCGGCCTGAATAATACATTCTTGATAGGCAGCTTAGTGCTAGACCATGAGAGGTCACAGCTTTAAGGCTTAGGACCACAGGCTAGTTTCCTTTTCTGGGGTTACTGATGTGGAAGAGAATAATGGTTGTGGGAGCCAGGTGAAGAGGTGATCACAAAGAACACCAGACCTGTTAGTGTTAGCACTAGGTACGCACAACACAGAGGGTATTCTTCATGCTGTAAGGCAGGTTCTTTTTATAGATGAGATTGATTAACTCAAGGCGTGGCCTGCTGGAAGTTTGTTGTGGTTGGTTCTAAATCTGTTATGATAGAAACTAAAACAAGGAGTTGCACATTGCTTAATCTTTAGCCCCCAAAGTTTTCCCACCAGGTGTATGAATTAAAAGGGGAGGCCTCAAAGCACTACCTACTTGTCATATCCTGGCTTTAGAACTTTGAGTATTCAGTGCATTTAAGTTCCTGAAATTTTTTCCTGTGCCTGCTTAGTCTGTCTCTACCCTGGGATGTCTTGCTCTTCCACAGAATTCCTGGCCATCCCTTAATGTACAAATGTGATGTGCTGTCACCACCATGTATTGTAGTTACTCCTTTGTGTACCTGCACCACCCCATGATGCCCCCCTGTGCATTTTTAGCCTTGGGGTCAGAAATCTTTGTTTACCTTTGATATTCACTTGAGGGGTTGGTAGTACTGTGGTTGTGATTAAACATTGATGAATCAGTGTTGGTTGGGATGAGGGTGCAACTGCACAGGCTTTTTCCTCTTCTCAGAACACTTGGGTCTGATTAGTGGCCTGGGGAGCTGTCAGAGAAGAGCAAAGCAAATGGCCATCACTTTGTGGGTTAGGTGGCAGGAGGATGGACTGTTGGTCTAAATCAGTGGTGGGACAAAACCAGGGAACGCTTCATGGATTTAAAACCAGTTGTGAATTACCAGTTCTGTTGATGTCTTCTTTGGTCCTTGTTTCTGCTAAATTAATACATCCCCTCACCATGGACTTAAATCTATCAGTAAGTAACAGGCTCCTGTGGCAAGGGGCAGGACTGAAAGGCTTGGATTTGTGGCTTTATTTGCCTACATGATGCACTTGCGAGAATTAAATGGTTTATGTGAGGGTCCAACAGAAGATGCTCTCACTAAATATAGTTACCTCTCAGTGTGTATCCCATTAATTTGATCAGTGGATATCTGCTTACCTAGATAATTTTTACCTTGTACTTGTCTCAGGGAAAGTCATTACCCCTGTCCTTATAAAAATCTTGTATTTCTGGTGTTTGACGTTGAACACGGAAGTGTAATTATTGTCCCCATCTTACAAGAGGAAATTTGAACTCCAAAAGATTAACTTGCTCAAGGTCTTCAAGCTAGTATCAGTCAAGATTTGAACTCAGGTGTGTCTGACTCTAAAATAGTTCTTTAGAACTATTATATTCTACTGCATGATGATGCTCCATTTTGAAAGTATGGAAAAGTGTCTTTTTCACGTTAGTACAGATAGGTTTAAAAGTTACTTATGACACTTGAAAACAGTTCATCAAAAAGTTAAACATAGAGCTGGGCTCTGTGGCCTGTTCCTGTGTTCCCAGTTACGTGGGAGACTGGGGAAGGAAGATCACTTGAGCTCAGGAGTTTGATGCTGTGGGGGCGATATGATCGCACTTGTGAATAGCCACTGCCTTCCACTCTGGGCAACATAGTGAGACACTCATCCCTTTTTTTAAAAAAAAAAATGTTAAATAGAGAATTGATTACACAAGAAATACAAGTTGAATTTCAGTTATCTGACTCTTAGACTTTCAAGAGGTAATCATTCTCTGGGAGGCCGAGGCGGGCGGATTGTTTGAGCTCAGGAGTTCGAAACCAGCTTGAGCAAGAGCAAGACCCCGTCTCTACTAAAATTAGAAAGAAATTAATTGGACAACCAAAAATATATAGAAAAAAGTAGCCGGGCATGGTGGCGCATGCCTGTAGTCCCAGCTACTCGGGAGGCTGAGGCAGGAGGTTTGCTTGAGGCCAGAAGGTTTAGGTTACAGTGAGCTATGATCAGGCCACTGCACTCCAGCCTGGGCAACAGAGCGAGACCCTGTCTCTAATAATAATAGTAATAAATAAAAATTCATATGTAAATAATCCTTATAGAGAAACAAGGTTTATGGAGCATGTATACTTATCTCCACTCCCTCCCAAAATTCCACTCCCACCCAAAACCACAGTCGCCTATAACTCTATAAGGATAAAGAGAACTGGGGAGGGAACAATAGTAGAAGAGCTTTATCAGTTTGAAAATAGCAGGAAGGGCAGTGACTTAGCAACGATGAGGAAGCTGAACCTTAAGTGTTGGCTCTAGCAGAGGCTCTTAATCTCGGGTGCACATTAAAATTACCTGGGGAGATAAAGAGGCAAATCCTGAGGCCTCAGTCCTACTAGGCATAGATAGTTGAAAAACATCTACAGGTGTATGGCATTTTTGCACCTACACACCCCTCCAATTCTGGGGGAATAACCTGTTTTGTCAAAGTTGGCTAAGGCAATACTCCCTTCCTGTCTTTCCAGCGGAAAACAGCAAGCGTCAGACCACAGCTCAGCCCATCCAATGCTCCCACCTGGCATTTTGAAACTCAAACTTTAGGAATTGTCCTGAAGATGCAGGTGCAGCTGGGACAATATCTGCAGCAGTGATGCATGCCCATGGTTAGTGGCACCAGCAGTGACACTTCCAAGGACAAGACCTGAGCTGGAGCTCCCTGCTTCACAGCCCCTCATAGTTACTGCTGAGTTAGGTTCTCCAACGTCCTGCCAACTCTGTGAGTCCCCACCATGCTGCCAGTAGATTCCTTTTCTGCTTAAAGCAGCCAGAGTGGGTATCCATCCCATTCCAAGAACTCTGACCATCACAATAAACTAAGAAAGTGCCCCTGTAACCCTGTAGAGAGATTTACTTTTTTTTTTTTTTTTAGACAGAGTCTTGCTCTATCACTCAGGCTGGAGTACAGTGGCCTCATCACAGCTCACTGCAACCTTGAATTCCTAGGCT